ATATTTACATGCGTACATTTATAAATTTTTATGAGTCGAGCATAGATGAGAGTATATTATGGTTACGTTCCGTAACATATAAATGTGATTGAAATGGTTGATGGCTGTAAATTGATGGATGACTTTGATGCCGGTAACGTTAAAATTCTTAGCTTATGAAAGTAACATTCACTTCAAAATATATTCAGTATACTTATTTTCACAGCCTTCAAATTACTAGATCTAACTTTCACATCAAAAGTAAGTTGTACATCCTTACATTGAAAAATCTTGAATAAAAATCGTCTACTCATTTAGATCAATAACAAGTTGATTATGTTATTTATCATCATTCTATATCTTAATCCGATCACTAATGCCAATTTCAACAAAAAATGCAGGATCAGTGTTCTTTGAATACCTTTTGACAGAAGCAAGGTATAGAGAGCTGCGCTTTTCACCATTCGAAAGAGGAGATGCAGACACATCAAACTATGTATCAGAGAACAATTTGACCTAGTTTTTTGAAGGACTTAAACTGACGTTTTCCAAAAGCAAGATACTTCGTAGGGTGACTAAAGTGAATTTTTAGTAATCAGGTGTATATTCGAGCCACTAATGGAAGATCTACAAAACTATGCAATACCCAGACTTTTAGACTTATTCATTCAGGAGTCATAAGTATTCTACTCGAAATTCTCTATCGATTTTTCTATTCATTTCAGTGAAAAAGAAAAGCACTTTTTTCACCTTTTTCTTGTTTCATAAGAAACCAATTTTCAAGCACTTTGCCTTGAAAATTCATTATGAAAACTTTAGAGAGGATCATAGAAAAACTTATAATATAGGATTCGATGTATCTTCATCTCCTCTTTCCAATGGTCAAAACCACAGCTCTTCATCTTGCTTTCATCAAAAGTTGTTCGAAAAATAGCTATCCACCCTTTTTTTTTCTTTTAAATGGGCATTAGTCAATTCTTGTTTAATATCCACAAACACCAACATTAATTTTGCAAAAACTCATCGTCGCTAAATGATAAATATTCACTTGTAAAAGCTCCACGATACTTTTATTAACATAATTGAGAAAATAAATTCAAATGCCTTTCTCACTACTTAACATCTTTTCTAAACTTAATTTAACAACAAACAAAAACAAAACTCAAAGTTCACTTTGATATTTTTCTACTTTTCAATATCAAACATCTATCAAATAATAATACTTAGTTATTTCAAGTAAATTCTCTCAAAAAATACATTTTTCTTTTCAAAATAATTTTATTTTTTAATTAAAAAAATAATCTATATAGAAAATCAAAATCATGATAACCAAATTTCAATAACTTCGCCATTATTTTTGACATTAACCATTTGTTCATTAATGATGTCTAGAGAAAATGCTTGACGACGTTTTGTTATAATATATTCACATGAAAAAGGATCATCGAAATATGTATCGTCATAATTGATTTTAAGATAAGATATTTGTTTCAATTCAGTAAGAAATATATCAATAATAAATGAACAATTATCAAATGAGAATACTTGAAGTTCAATATGACAAAGTGATGGAAAACGTTGAACAAATTTTGAGGCGAAAGCTGAAGGAAAATAAATGTCTTCTGTTATTGATTTGATCATTTTAATTTGTTTAAAAATTGGAATAAGAAATGAATTATCAATTAATTTTGATAAGACTAATAATGGAGTATTAATTATAAGACTATCTACATTTGGACATGCTCTAGAACAATAGTATTAGAAATATTTTCTTCCATAAAAATAAATATAATACATACTGTAGAATTAATTGAACATCTTTCCATCGATCTGCATGAAACGATGATCGAAATTCTAATTTTTTGACATTCCATAAATGAACAAAACATGATAAATAAGTCAGATTTTGTGATGCATTTTTATTGTCATCAATCGTTCGTCGAAAATTAACTAGAACAAATCGAATCACATTCTTTCTTATCTAGTACAAAGGGGATTTATTTTCATAAAATAAATTGATAGAATAAGTCTATTATTCTTACCAATATTAAATAAATAGTTCCACCATGACTTTATTATTGGTATTTCTACGAGAAGATAAGTAATATGTTGAAATAAAGGAGAAGACCAAGTAACATTAGATCTTTCATTTATGTATAATTTTAAATTTTTTATATCAGAATAAAAAGAATAATGATCATCTATTGTTTTTCTTGTTGATTGTGTTTCAAATGTTTCACAAAAAAGAAAAGGAACGTATAATTTTGCGATTGATATGCGTTTGGAACAATTCAATGTTCGTACTATAATATATTCTTCTAAAAGAAAAAGAACTGTATAATCAAATATTCCTTCTTACTTCAAATTTAATTGTCTCATATTTAAGTCTTTAAACAATTTTATTTACTTTCAACGCGAAAATCATATTTCTATCGATCAATAATCATATCCCAATTGGAATACTTGTTAACAAAATAATTAAATGACTCAACCACAAAATTTAAATCTAATTTTGGCAATCTTTTCAAAACGACCATATAAAATTCAAATTTAGATAAACATGGAAGATATTGTTCGAACATTTCTTTCCAGACATTTCCATCGAGATATTGATTGGTAAACGGCCACAATGATTTTTGTGGTATCAAATGAAAATAAAAATGTTTGAGAATAGGCATACAACGTAAAATATATGAAATCGACCAAATATCGAATATAGCATCAAGGTTTAACTCGAAAGATGTCAATTGTGATAATATAGGAAGATCATTTTCATTTGTAAGTGGTTCATCACTTGGAACACTAAAACAATATAGAATCGTTATGTTTTAAACATGTTTCTTCGGATATATCTATTGAATTAGGAACTTACTTAACATTATTATTTTCAAATCGTTTGTCATGTTGTAATATAATACATAGATATCTTATTCTATGACAAACACGAAAAACTCGTAAAACTGAATAAATAGATACAGTTGAAGGTGAACCGGCAATCCATAAATTAAGTGATGTAACATTTGAACCTAAAGATGTATAATTTGATACGTCTAAGTAATGATGAGGATATTGAAGTTCAATTGAACGAAGAGAAGATGATTTATGTGTTAATATAGTTTGAGTCAATTGATCATTATCATTTTTGGTTATGTTTTCATAATTTGGTTGAAAAATTTGAAGCAAGACAAGTGTATTAAGACTTTGAATTTGTTCAATAACATTACCAAGTGTAGTCATTGAATCAATTGACATAAGTTTACATGATTTTAGATGAGAAAAGTTGTGTCGATTGAATAATAAACTGATAATAGAAGAATCATCACGAATGGTATCAGAAATATTTATTGAGATGACTTGATGTTCATGAAAAGTAAGATGAGAAGAAAGAAAGTCAATTTGACGACGACAATGTTTTTTGGAAATAACAATATGAAGTGGAATTGATTGTAAAATAGATGATATTCGTCTGTTCAATAAAGTAAAGCCAGTAAATATATCAAATATGTGTAAATAATCAAATATTTCAAAGAATATCTCATTTGATAAATCTTCCAAATGAGTATTTACATCCATTTCTAGAATATATATGACTATATAACTAATGAAAATATCAAATAAATAAATATTTGCACGACAGTATCTTTTATATTTCATAACTAAACAGTCTATGAACAATACTGACGACGAGAAGATAAAATGAAATATGATTTAATCGTCTTGTTCAGTTAAAGATATATGAAAAAAAAATATGAAGAAAAGATGGATTGATCATGTCAATTCTTCTAATTGGTCGCTATATTTAGTTTGATCATAATGTCAGATTACATGATGAAGAACGAAAAAGATATAAATGATAGTCATGATGGAATTGTTCTAAAAAAAGAAAGAAATGTCCAGTTCGAATCTATCTTTAGTACTTATTATTATCATAGAAGTCAACAAACAAAAAAATTTTTTAAAATTCTAATCGATTTGGATAACTTTCAGTGGGAGACAAACTTCTTCACTTGAATATTTCCTCCAATTAGATGGTATATAGAACATTATGAAAAGATTAGTTTTGATCGATATTATCTTCTGATCTATTTCCAAGACTATTTTGACAACTTTGTCTTATTTTTCTATTCTGTATAGATCAAAAAGTATATTTTCAAATGAAAGAAAGAATCTCCCGATTGAATCATAAGAAAAGTGATTTAATTCTCAAGAGTCAAATGTCCCTTCCAAATGGATATTTTATATCTCTATAAGAAAAGCAATTTGTTTCAACATTAGCTTGATTATACTGAGAATATCGAGAAGCTCTCATCTGTTGATCTATATAGTTTCTTTTATTGTCAACAAAATCTTTGCTCAGCTGTCGAGGGTCAATACAATATAGAATTGATATTCTAATTAATTCTATTGTACTTAAGAAAAATTTAGCACTATATTTCATAGATGTTTGTTATAGCTAATTGAGAAAGTGAAATAAGCAGTGTTTTTTATGAGTTGAAGATAAAGTTTAATGGTTTCTATTTAGCTAATTTAAGATCTCATATAGTTTCAAAGTTGTCTTTCGTACAAGATAAGTAAGAGCAAATGTTTGTCAAAGATTAGAATGAAATAAATCAATTATCTTGTAATACTCGAACAAAAAACTATATTCAATGTTTCGAACGATTCATTCAGGACATGATTAATCTGAAAAATAAA